ACTTTTTCTGGTTCAATTCTTGGTGTTGTTATTTTATCATTTTTAGTTCAAATCTAAGATTTATTTTAGTTTTTCAATTTTCTCAGTATTTTCAATTTTTATTTAGATTATTATTTTCTTATGATTTCCTATTCGTAATCGTGTTCTTGTTATAAATATTATATAAGGACTCATTTCTAACAGTCTTAGATATAACTTAATACAATGCAACATTATTTCTTAAAGTTTCTGCCTTTATTGTGAGAACCCTACATTTGATCTTTTCAAACAAAATTTCTGTTGCACCATGTACATTCTAAAAAAATGGTCAACATTTTATTCATCCTCCATTCCTAGGACATTTTGTCAAAAAGTACCTTCTTGTTCACAAACAACATTCCATAGACACTATATCTCGAAATAGTTGCCAACCATAATGCTTTATCCTAGGCAAAGTGGACATATTCCAGAGCCTCTTCCATAGTGGATCATTCCCTTATGTAGAAGTTTTTAGCTCAGTTACTGTTCTCTCTTTCCAAGCTACCCTATACTCGGACTTAATTGTATTAATACCTGATTGTTTAATTTCCTACCTCAACTTGTCAGAAGACCTTCTAAAAATCAAAGGAACAGAGATTATCTTTCTTGCTTCCTGACTATTGAATGGACATTTAATAAGTTGTATTTTCCATTGGGTTGTTGTGAAAATATCGGAATCCTTCCCCTAGGTTGAGAGTGAAACCATTTATCTCCCAAAATCCAAATACTTTGGCCATCCCCTACTCTTCATGAAAGACCTTGCGTCAACAATATCCTCCCATACAAGATACTCCTCCAAGTATAGCTAGGTCGATGTCCTAGGGTCACATCCATAAAATCCCCTTTGCGGTAATATTTAGCCTGTAACAGCAGAGAAAAAATAGGGTTAATGTTACACAATAACTGCCACACTTGTTTGGCACAACATCGTTTTGTTGAAACAGTGGAAGTCTCGGAATTCCAAGGTGCCTACTGTTTTTGAGGAGCCTAGATATGTCCATTGGAGCCAATAGATATTTGGTTTACCCCTTCTGCTTTTTCCACCAGAAATGTAATCTGTCTCTCTACGCTAGCATTGGATTTTTGAAGTACAAATATTCTCACAGCATATGTGGGAATTGAGTGAGCCACTACTTAATAAGAGTTTCCCGACCTGATTTAAAAGAGTCAATGGATTCAATTTCTTCGGTCTCTTTGTCATCCTGTCAACTTAGCACCCAAATGTCTCATTCAGTTATCTACCTAGCATAGCAGACAGTTCTCAAGTATTTACTATGTGCATCAATACCACGAACACCTAACAAATTACAGAGCTGCTTCTTTCTTTCCTTGGTAAACACTTTCAAGAAAAATACAGAAGACTTCTGAAGATTTATAACTTGACCCCATAACTCCCCGTGATCTTTTAAAATAGGTTGTATTACAACTAGTTCCTCCATCTTCTCACTCAAAGATTATACTATGTTAAAATCCTAGAAAATCATGAATAGTTGGAATGGGTGATGGGAATTCTCATGCATCTGAATAGTTACAATGGTTGATAAGAATTCTCATATAATTGAATATTTGCAATGGTTGATAAGTATTTTTATGTATCATTTCATGTTTATAAATGAGAGTTGGAAATTAAACACAGAATGTATAATTTTATTGAATAAAATCTCAGTTAAATTTTTTTATCTTTCTCTTCTCTCTCCTCTCTGCTCTCTTCTTTATTTATAATTTTCTCTTTCTCTCTCTAACAGCCTCTCTCTCTATATATTTCTCTCTTTTTCTCTGTCTAGATATTTCTCTCTCCTTCTCTATCCAACAGTCTTTCTCTCTTTCTAAAACATTCTTTCTTTCTCCCTATTTCTTTCTCCCTCTAAAATCTCCACCTTCTCTCTTACAAACTCTCTTCTCTCTCCCTGACTTCCTTTCTTCTCTCTTTCCAGAACCTTCTCTTTTCTTTTAAATTCATTTTTTGCTCCGCCCCAATCTTTTAAATTCCTCAATTAAGGTTCTGAAGAATTACACGTCAAAGTCGGGTCCTAAAATACTATCTTTGCCAAGCATAAGATGATAAATAGGAGAGGCAGATTGTGATATCTTTACACCGTGAATCCTGCCATCACACTCTGCCCCTGTGTAAAAGAGATGAAAAAGCCTTTGGACAGAGTTAGCAGGTAAGGCGACGAAGGTTCTCCCATCGGAGTCCCTTTTTACAATAGATGACCAGCAACAGTTCCCCATTGACTAATATGGAAATATAAGACCAAAGACAGCATGCCATTGTAAGAAAGACAAGAGCATCATGAAAGCCCAATTTGCTCAACATTTTCTCTGAGACCAAGCTAGTCAATCATAAGTCTTACTAACATCCAGTTTCAAAGTAAAGGTTCCATGCATTATTCTACACTTCTTAAGAAAATGAGAAATTTCAAAAGTAATGAAAGCATCATTAGTTATTAGTCTGCCAGGAATAAAAGCTGATTGAGAGGGTGTACAACTTTGTTCAGGAAAGTCTTTAAACGATTTGCAATACATTTAATAACATTTTTCATGATGACATTGCATAGACTAATGGGTCAACAATCCGACGGGACATTTTGGAGAAGGCACTTCAAGAACCAATGGAATAAAAGTATGATTTATCGATTAAAAGATGCAAGATTTTTAAGAGGATTTAACACAAAGTGAACGAAATCAAACCTGGGAATAGGCCAAAATTTTTGAAAGAAAATAGATGACATACCATCAAGTTCTGGAGTCTTTGTAGGGTGCATTTGTTTTAATATAACAATAACTTCTATATACGGTACAATAAGATGTGCATTCATTTTCTCTGTAACCTTACAGTCCACACAACTCAATATAGTGTCAACATTGCTCGCAGCACTCTCCCCAAATACCCTTCTGTAATGATTTACAAAAACTTCCGTGATATGTTGTTGATTAATCATCCAAGCTCCTCTATCATTCTTCACCTTCCTAATTGTATTCCTTTTTTGTCTATGAGAGGCCCTCACGGGAAAAAACTTAGTATTACAATCACCCCATTCAAACCCAATCAGCTCTGGTTCTCTGCACTCATAAAACTTCTTTTTTATAGATTTCCATCTCACTCTAACAGTTTTAATGTAGTCATATTCTCGTCTCTCCCACTCTCAGCTTGTAGTATGAGAATCTCCTGTTTGCTCCTTCCAATTCTTCTCTTCGCATTACCTACCACATTCCTCTCATTGTTTTAGTGAGCAAGCTACTCTATTCACTTCATTAACAACACTCCCCCTTCACTATCCAATACATCGGATATCAATTTATGACATGCAGGTTCCTTTAGTCTCATAGAAAAAGCTTATTTTTTTCTTAACTAAGGTTTATGGGTCTAACAGTATTTAAAACAATTGCAGCATGATCAGAGGCATACCTCAATAATTGTTTCACCTGATAATCTGAGAACAAATGCTTCCAAGCCTCTGTAGCGAGGAACCGGTCAATTCGCTCTCGAAAATTACCTGTCCATTTCCTTCCATTATAAAAGGTGTAATAACCAGAATATTGCAAATCTGTTAAATTGCATTCAACTAAGGCCTCCCAAAACAGATCCAACTTTTGCCAAAGAATATTTCATCCCCTTTTTTCTCATGTCTTTAGAGAATTTTGTTGAAGTCACGTCCACTATCCAAGGACCAAAAAAAATTCCCAATAAAGTTTTTGAATAAAGTTCATGTTTTATATTTTTGATCATTAGCAAACCACTTCTATCACCGGTAAATCAATATTGTGTTTCAGCAGAAGATAACAAAATATCAATATGATGATCAGAGGAGGACAAAACTTTAGCAGTACAATCATCCGGCCAAAGAGCACAAAGACCTCCTGATCTATTTGTTTAAAAGTTGGGACTCCCTGCTGGAGGTTATAGTCCCCTTAATCACTTCAATACTTACTGTAACAAGTGGAGCATAGTATGACTCGAGTTAAGGAACTCCTACTACTGAGGGATCAGTTCTTAGATCGTAGACAATAACTATTAATTACATATATAAATTTAATGATTGAACATATACAAGGTCCGTAGTCCAATGACTTCCTATCACTGGAGTGATCATCTCTTAGGTGGCAGATTAGTTATATATTTATACAATTTAACGAGTGAATACATATCATATCCTGCCAAGCTGAGTGCGGGAGCATGCACAAGTTGACACCCATTGCAATAAAAAATGTTTTGAAGTAAATCTCTTTGCAAATATATCTGCCAAATGGTCTTGACTTGGGAATCTATTTCAACTTCTAATTGTCCCAAGTATTTCCAGTCTCACATGTTTAAAATGAGCAAGTTGAACTAAATTTGCTTACATTTAATCATATATATGTATATATTCTTTATTACACAACATGTGTGTTTTTTGTTGAAAAGAACTGTGTAATTATGTTATTAGCTTACCAAATTAGCAGATGTCTGATAACTAACTTGAGCAACAAAATGATATTTGTCCTCTGTGGGTAATCATAATATTCTTAGGTTTTTTTTTGGCGGTCGAGGAAATAAGATTAGATATAAGGGAAACGTAGTAGTTTATGATTGAATCGTATCTTTAATTTATTTGGATAATCGCCCCAGTTAACATCCAAAAAACCTTTGATATTGAGGTAAATAACAAAGGCATCTCCATATAGTCATTGATTTAAGAAAGAACTTTGTTATGACTGAATTCTTTAACTAATAAATAATGAAGACTAGCAAAATCATTCATCACAAATTTTTGATCTCAGTCGCTGTGAAACCAGTCTTATCAATTTTGCATGTAGCAGGACTAATATGCCAATACTGCATTACTTAATAGAACTTTTTGCCTTCATAATCCATGCCTAGATAAATTAACACATGGAGGATCAAGGATTGTTAATGATCTAAAAATTTTTCTTTTCTCTGTCAAAGTTGAAGAAAAGAGGTGAAGTAATCTAAATCTGAAGATCTGATAATTTCTTTGCAGGTAACAAATTGATGACAGGAAGATTATCGTACTTATCATCTCCGACAGGACGTGCTCTCTCTCTTCTGTCATCCAAGTCTGAATCCTGGGTTTCTCCATCTGATCTCTCCTTTAGATCTAGTGAAGCGCTACGTGAGCTCATTGCAGAAAACCGTGCTGCTACCTTGGCTCATCAGCTCATACAAAACCGGGAATGGCACTTGCACCATCAGGGAGTCCTAGATGTTAGAGAATCTGACGCCGGCCCCAAGTATTTAACAATCCAACAGCGCCAGTTGTTACTTGAGTCATCACAAAGTTGGAGCAAACTTCATGAGTCAAGTGCTCATGTAACATTGAACCTCATGCATGGTACGAGCTCGGCATTCGGTTTATTGTCTGTGAGAGGAAAGACTAAGGAAGAGGAAGAAGATTCTGAACTATGGAATTATGGAACTAGTTTGGAGGGAGCCAGTGTTGGCTAAAGTACTAGACAAGCAATTAACCTTTTTCCTTTTCCATCTCTTCTGTGCGTTTTTCCCTTTTTTTTTTTTTTAAAATTCATTTTTCTATTTCCTGTAACTTAAGTTCCATTCAATCTTTCTTGAAAATATTTAAGTTTCGATTTATGAAAAACCTGTGAAAATTTTCACTATTCGGATTTCTTTCTTGAAAATATCTCAATATATACGACATGACAATGTTGTATCAGTTTAAATATCTCAATAACGTGTATTTTCTTTCTTGAAAATATCTCAATATATACAACGTGACTATGTTTACAAGAGAATGAAATGAAGTGTGTTAGAGGATCGCTAAAAATCTGTTGTATATTTAATAAACAATAAAAGGTTATCTAGATTAATTGGGTTGGAACTCCATTCAATTTAAATAATACGAGAGTAAATTCATTAAGTTTTGTATAAAAAAAATTTAATAGTCTATATATGTTTCTCATGTCATTTATATAAATAAAATATCATATAGGTTATTGTTTCATTAGAAAAAAGTTCTCACATATATGAATAGAGTAATATATGAATTTTTCCATTGAGAAAAAATCATAATATTGAAAGGCAGGAAAATTTCCTAGTGCACAATAACTATTTGATTCCATATACTCTTACATGCAAGAACCCAATATGTTTTTCCAACTAAGGAACCGAGGTCGAAAAGATAGAGAAACAAAACCCTTTCCCTTATTGTGTCTTTATATTAATCTAGTGTTATTCCAACACTTTATCATCTATGTAAATTGAAGCTATCTTCGCCTTCCACTTAGTTGGGATTTCTTCAATCTTGAAGTATATATCTTTAAACTTTGAAAATCCATCCATTCAAATTTTCTCCTTTAGAGTTTCAAAGTTCGTTTTGGTTTTTGGAAATTGAAGTCCTATCCAGGTTCTATACTTCTATTCAAGCTAGCTCTTGAAATTCCTTTGTCATGTTGTACTAGACTTTTCTTAAAGTTAACTATATTACCACTATTTAGTACATGGATCAAGCTCAAGACAGGGAGGATTGAAGACAAAGGAACCCAAGAAATCCAAAAGAGAGAGATCGAATGAAAGTAGGATAACAAAAGGGAGTTCAACTTTAATCTCATTCCTTACTATTTCTTCAATTTGATAGGTACTTATTTACGATTTAGTTATAAATAATCATCCATACCAACCTACTTAACTATATGTTAGTGAAGGTTTGCGATTTTGTTATTTCCTCTTTTTTATACAAAATAATTGTTGCATAATAGTTTTTTTGCATTAATCCAAGTCTTTTATTTTTAATAAGCTTTTCTTTTAAAAAGTAGGTTGATACAAGTTTGTTTAGACATAGAGAAGTTACTCTATTTGTATCTATTTTACGGTTTTATAGAGCTATTGTGTTTTAATAGAATTAATACAAATAAGAAGATACTTTTAATTAAAGGTTATGATTTTTATGCTTCCTGGATCATTTTACAGTATTTCAGCAACAAGAATAAATTGACATGGAAAGATGAAGTTAAAATAATGTTTACTCTAAAGAAAAAAGATTATTTTTGCAATTGTTTTTTAATTTTGAGGCCTTGAGTAATTTTATACAAATATTGGATAATAATTAGATGTTGATTATTTTCTTTTCACTTATAAATTTCTACCTTTTATTGTTTATCCATATCTATCTAGAATTTCATTTCAAAGAATGTTTTTTGGTTCTTTAATTTTTTCCTCTACCTATAATTTAAAAATTAGGTCCTTAGCCTATATTTTCTATTATTTTTTCAATAATACCGTTAGTCATTGAACTTGTTGAGGTGGAACCCAAATCATCCCTAGTATTTCTAAAAGTTTTGGGTTGTCTTGGTATTCTTTCACTTTTGTAGATTCAATTACTTCTCGTGCTCTTGGTGGAGCTTGTGTTTTTTGCTCATCCAGCACCTTACGATTTATTTTATGCGAACACCATGCCCTAGATTCCTCACTATGTCTTTAGCTAGTCGTTCACATTTTTGTGCTTTATTTGTTAGCATGATTGACAACCTTGGGCATCAGTTGTAGCACCCGGAAAGGAGGAGAAAAAAAAAAAAAAAGGGGCCACGTCAGCAGCCACGTCAGCAGGCCCGGTCAGCAGTCCCGGCCAACCGGGGCCTGCCACGTGGCAAGACCGCGTCACTCCGAAAGGAGCCACGTTGGCGATCCGCGTGGGTGCGATCCGACGGTCCAGATCAATCGCGCGATCGGACGGCCCAGATTCAATCGCACGGACGGCCCAGATTCAATCAAAAACGAACGGCCCAGATTAAAACGAAATGAACGGCTGAGATCAAAAGGCAAGGGGTTATA